TGTGAAATTTAGAAGGGTGATTGCTTGTAAGAATTTAAAGAGACATTAGTGGTTTCTTTGCTAGTCCTCAGCTTACCATCACAATTGAGCCCAAATTTTCCATTGCTAAGCAAGATGGTTGTTAAGTTACTTGCACCCCATTTTATGACTTTTTGGCACAGATGTTAAGCGAACCATTGCAGTTGTGAAGGAAATCACGTTGTTAAGCGAATCTGGCTGCCTGCATAGACTTTGCTTGTTGGAAGGTTACAAACGGTGATTACAAGACCCCAGGACATTGCAACCATCATAAACACTTGCCGGTTGCTTAAATTCTGGTCATGTGACCACGAGGGATGCTGCAATGGTTGTAAGTGTGAAAAACAGTCATGTCACTTTTTTCAGTGCTATTGTAATTTCAAACCGTCACTAAATGAACAGTTGTAAGTCGAGGACTACCTGCATGAGAGTAAGATTTTCTTCTCCACCTTGTGTCGGGGAAGAGCCTGAGGATATTAAACTCCCAATTAGCAAAAGGAGAATAATACAGAATCCTTCTGTTTACAACATTTGGAAGCCACAGGAGCATGGGTAAAACAAAATGGACTCCTGTCAGCATTGGGCCTTACAGGAACAAAGTGAAGAAGACAATCTTACGGTGATACAATGGAACAAAATATACATGCAAGCAGACATTTAGGGAATGTAGCTCAGGAAAGAATCTAGAATTGTGGGATTAACTAACAGACCTAGATAATACATGATTATGACTAGAGAAAAGAGTTAGGAGGAAATGGCAGTACGAGTAAAAATGTTCCCACGACATCTGTATGTTCTGGTTAAAAAAGCATCATTCAGAAAGAAGCAATTGTGCAGTAGAATTATTTGAAGATTATTCAGCTACCTGCAGATAGACGATGCAAGTAAAAACTGGTTAGCTATTAGAAAAGGGCCATGAAAAAGGAGATTAAGGAACATAAGAAGACTAAATTAGAAAGTCAATAGGATAAAAATAATAGCAAAAGGCCAAGATAGGGATATAAGTAGGAACAAGAGGTTATATATACAATAAGTTTGGTTGCAGAGCCAAAACCTGCCCAAATGTGATCCAGAAAATTTTATTTATTTATAATCTCCCAAGTTCATTTAAGTTGAAAAGGAAAAAAAACACACACAAAAGCAAAACAAATAAGGGTCAATGGAAGAAATATGCTTGGTTTAATGATGCAACTGGTCTTAACTAGTGTTAAAAGCGATAAAAATAAATAATTAAATAGAACCAAACACCGATATTCACCATTATTTTGTTAGAGGTTCTCCAAGAATGGGCATGCCAGAATTCGCACAGTTTTCAGGAAGACGCTTTCAGAAAAGATTCAGCAAAATATATTATGGGAGGATTTTAGCTCATCTACTTTGCAGTGTGATGGTGGTCACCCATATCTCAGTATGTCATCATTTAATAATCAAAGGGGATTAGAAGGGACTTAGCAGGTATGGTTAAGAAAGCCAAATGAAAGGAATTAGGAGGGAATAAGCCTAAATCCCAAGAAGTGAGATTGGGTGAGGAAGGGGAAAGGGTAGATAGTAACCAGAGGTTAAGGTACATCAGAAATGAGTCTAGTGTAAAAGCAGAGAGCCCATCACCAGTTGGAAGAAAGGGCTGTTGTAGCAGACTGAAGTTAGTTTGCAAACCATTCTATATTTGTTCGAGGGAAAAAGCTCAAGAAAAGAAAGATTTAGAGTTGAAATGAGGACACGGCTTTGGGAATGAGCGAGGCACCACAAAGGAGACAAGACAAAGAATACAACAAAGAGCATTTGAGACTCGAGTAAATCTCCCGGCCCTTATTTATAGAGGAATTTAGCTTTGGCCTTGAGAAAGAAGAGGAAAAATAGGAAACGATCTTCAATCTTGAGAAAGCGCTAGTCCTTAAAAAATGGGCACTGAAGGAGTTGAACACACTTTCCAGATTTTGTTAATATAACCTACAACAGGGGTGTCAAACACAAGGCCCGTGGGCCGGAGCCGGACCGCAATGTGGTCAGATCCAGCCCGTGGGGATGACCTGGAAAATGTAAGAGGTTGGCCTGCATCGCTTTGGCCCGAACTACCCAGTGTGAAGAGGAAACATGCCAGCAGTTTGGGGACTGGCGTCAAGCAGGCCAGGCCCATCCAGTTGGTACACCCAGTGAATGGCGTCAAATTGGCCACGCCCACCCAGTTGGCCACATCCAACCAGTCGGCCATGCCTACCCGGACCCCCCCCCCGAGGTCAACCCCAGCCCTGATGCAACCTCAATGAAATTGTGCCAGGGTTCCAACGGATGCCCTAATTAATTCATGAGTTGCCAAAATTGAGTTTGACACCCCTGACCTACAAGAATAAAGAAGCATTCCTGGAAATCCCAGTTTGGTCCAGTGGAGGAATGGACCATTAATTTTCCCAAGGGGCCACATGAGAAACTGGAACTGTGGTGGAGGGCTGAACCAATAAGGTTGTGAAGGTGGATAGGCATTTATGCAGGCGCATATGTAAATTAAAAAAAAAGAAAAAGTTGTCTTCTAAATAAAAGCAATCCACACGAGGCATATAGGGATAGTCAAAGGGTCAGTTGTGGCTCAGGGGAGGTCTTAAAATGCCCAGGTCTGGTCTAGTGTTTAAAGCACCCTGCTAGAAACCAGGAAGCTGTGAATTCTAGTCCTGCCTTAGGCAGTGAAACTGGCTGGGTGACTTTGGCGCAACCACTCTATCTCAGCCCAATTCACCACAAGGGCTGTTATTTTAGAAAATAGGAGGAAGAAGGAATATTAGGTTTCTCGGTTGCCTTGAGTTATTTATAACAGAAAGGTGAGATTTTTTTTAAAAAAAAAACCTTTAAAAACCCACGAGTGTCTGTTTCTTGACCTGGCCTACTTAGAAAAGCTGACATTATCGTAAGGAAGATAGGTGTATGGTAGAATGAATTTGCTCTGATGGATTTGGATTTCATAGTTAAAAGGGTTTTTTCAACCTCCTCCGTGGACCTGGGCTTTGTGCCATGGAGAGACCAAGAAGCTTTGTGCCTACCTAGTTAAATCACCTGCCTTCTAGCTCTAAATATATAAAAGGACAGAAGCGTTCAGCAATGGACGAGGAGGAGATTCTCGGACTTGTGTTTGTAAGCATGGACCAACACTATTGTTACATCAAGGAGGAGAAATCTACACTCGGAGCCCAAGTGCACCTGAGGGAAAGAATGACCTGCCTGGGGGGAAAGGATTACAGGGTTTGGACAGTGGGACAGATGTCAGTGAAGACAAAGATGCTGGAATCCAAAAATCCTAGAAGAGCATTTTTCTTGCTTTCTAGTCTCCCTAACATACAGGTAAGTCGTTGACTTAGGAGCGGTTGCTTAGTGACTGTCCAAAGTTATGATGGACTCCCCTCCTCAAAACGTACCTTGTTTCCCTGAAAATAAGACCCTGTTATATGTATATATTTGCCACCAAAAAAGGCACCAGGTCTTATTTTTTTGGGGGGGATGTCATCTACTGACTACCCTCACTCGTACGCATCACTCCTGGCCTCCTTTTCACTGTCAGAGGCCTTCAGGAACTTCTGAAGACCTCTGTAGCTGATAACAGAGCCTGATCTGGAGCTTTGTTATCAGCTACAGAGGCCTTCGGGAAAGTCTTGCCAGCCTTGCCGGATGCAGAAGAAATGGGACAGCAAGGCAGATGTTGGGGTGTGAGAGGCCTGGCTACAACTGTACAAAGATAATTAGTAGGGCAGCTCCACCCCTCCTATCCCCACCTAGCTTAATGTTTACCCGTTTGGGCAGGATCTGAAATAGGACTTATTTTTTTGGGGGGGAGATAGGACTTATATTGGGTGCACGTGTAAAAATCAAGCTAGGACTTACTTTCAGGGTAGGTTGTATTTTCAGGGAAACAGGGTATTTGCAACCTCATTCCAAAGTGATGGTGCCCCCTTGTGGTCATACGACTGCATTTTTGGTACTTCGCAATTGGCTAGCATTGACAGCCATTTGCAGCATCCCTTGGTCACGTGCCCATGATTTATGACAAAAATCCCTCCCCAAATTTTTCCTCCTGAAAACTTGTGTTTATTTCTGGTTTTTTTTTGGGGGGGGGCAATTGTGAACAATGGGTTCACATAAGGACTACCATGTTTGCTTTAAAATCGGGTCTGGTCACATGATGATTTGCTTTATGACCATTGCAACTGTAATTGGCAGGCCCCATTATGGTCCTAAGTCAGGGACCACCTGTAGATGTGAGCCCAGTGCACGGAAAGAAGTTGAATGAGGGTTAACAGATAACACACCGTAAAAATGGTTTATATGGACCTGTGTATGGATACTGCAGTGTTTGTCTAATGATGCATTTAGTCCAGTATTTCTCAGCCCTGGGAACTTCTAAGAGATATGGACTTCAACCCTCACAATTCCCCAGCTAACATGTCAGCCTGGGGAATTCTGGGAGCTGAAATCCGCATTATCTTAAAGTTCCCCAAATTGAGAAACACTGACACGGTGTGTTAAGCTGAGGACACTGTCCGGATACTGTTCTGTTAAATACCTTTATAAGCAGAGAATAACTGTAAACATTATGTTTTCCTACCTTTGACACAGCTCCATTGTATTCAGTTAGATACGTTTGGTTCCAGTTTTGAAGGATATCACTTATTTGGGAACCCTCTTCCCTCCCCAGACAAATCTGATTAGAAACAAAGCCTTCAGTTCTCTAAGGTCTGCAATCCATAATAAGCAAAGTATGCTGACTTATTTTACTTGCTATCTTTCAAAATCTTTGCAAAAGAATTGTTTGCGGAGTCCCGGCTAGTCAGTGTGAGTTAACAAAGTTCTGCTGTGATCTTTTTATATTATAGAGGGACAAAACCAGACAAAACAATTGACAAACAATAGACAACAGTGCGGGAGGAGGAGGTCATATACATACATACATACATACATACATACATACATACAGCATATATATTTAAAATATTAAATACCTTCATTTTCTATTGTGTCAACTACATTGTTGACAAGCTGTATGACAGTCACAATGGAAGCTTGCGGGAGGAGGAAAGCAGAAATAAAGGGAGGACAGTCTCAAGTTAGTATTTATTTATTTCACACAAAGGTTATCAACGACACAATCTCAGATTAGCTGTGAGAGCAACTACAGAAGGGTAGATGGTTACGAATGAATTATGGAATGATTTGAGAACATTTTGACATCTGGTAACTCCATATGCACATTTGGGTCTCCCCCGCCCCCCAACAGGGTAGCAAATGGGGGGAAAAAAACACTCAAAAAAGCAATGAGATGACTACCACCAGTCCATAAATCCAACCTGGAAGATTCAATGAATCTGAAGATGTCCCCTAGTTGGATAACAAAACGTCTGCAAGAAAACAACCAAGTTCAGAGAGCACCAAGGATTCCATAATTCAATGAATCTACCTGACACTCATATCTAAATGGCAATTGCTTAAAGCCCCTTGAGAGTAAGTGCTGCCTTTTAAGTGCCTCTTATCATCCAGGCAGCCAGAATGATTCAAAGTGGTTTTAAAAGTCTTTGGCTAATTTTTTTTTGCCCCGATTAGGATTACTAATGAACACAAAGCCTTGGTGGGAAAATTACAAATTCTGCTTGGGAAATATTTAAAGGCAGGTAGAAGGGTAGATTAAACATTAAATAGCTTCCATTTAAAGACTACTTATTCCTTAATTATTTTAAACATCCCTTTAAGCCAGAGACGACCACTTATTCAACGCTGGATTTACCGGCAGTGTCAAAATAGAGAATTTCACATTAACAACAGTCGCAATACAGCCAGTAGACTAATGTTAGAAGAAGACTCCTTGTGGACCCTTGGTTTAGCTAGATGAGAATTATTTATTTGGATGAGCATTTATTCCAGGATCACCAACAGGTTTCATTATCAAGTGTAGCTTGGACCTTTAACTCAAAAGCAACCGTTATTGGAATAATAAAGACTTTTTAAAAAATTAATATGGGATTTAGGCAAGAAGGGAGAGAAAAGCCAGGACAAAGAAGTCCTGTATGCAGGGGGTCAGGAGAAAAACAAAATAATTTAAATAAAACAGGTTTTAAATAATTTAAAGTCAACTTGTTATTTGCATATTTAATCGGTTTCCTCTTCCATTATTGTGTCATGATTTTAAAAAATGTTGTTTGGTGACATTGTTTGAAGGAGTTCTTAGAGGCACGTGCAAAGCTTTGATAGGGTCCACAGATATCCTTGAATCTGCAGCTCTTCTACTTTGGACCTGGATATTGAACCCAACACCTTTGACATGCAGCAGAACTGCATATTGCTGAGATCCATGATTCTATCCCCTTCATGGTTCACCATCCCCCGACACCAGAGGTGGTATTCAGCAGGTTCTGACCAGTTCTGGAGAACCGGTAGCAGAAATTTTGAGCAGTTCGGAGAACCGGAAAATACCACCTCTGACTGGGGATTTTACAGTATCCTTCCCCTGCCACGCCCACCAAGCCACGCCCACAGAACCGGTGGGAAAAAAAAGTTGAATCCCACCACTGCCCTACCCCAGAAACGGGCTGCATCAGTATTGCATTCCCACGGCCGTCACATTCTACGTCCTCTCTTCTTGGACAGCAGTTAAATTGGAAACTTTGTGAAAAGTGCCCCAAATTCTTATACATCCTGTTTTATTGCTTTTCCTAATTTCTGGGGACCCTTACAATCTCCAAAATTTCCACTTAATATGACCTCGAGTTTCTGTCCAACAAATCTAAAGGCTGAGATCCCTTCCGAGATCTGCTAGTGGGATTAATATCTCCACTCAGGCACAGCCCTTAAAAAAGTCTCTTCCATATCATTAAAATAAAGCTAAAGGCTTCCCCTGTCCAGCTGTGTCCAACTCTAGGGGTGGTGTTGGTCTCTGTTTCTTAACCGAGGAAGCTAGCGTTGTCCAAAGACACTTCTGTGGTCATGTGGCCAGCATGACTGCAGGCTAAAGTGCACAGAACACTGTTACCTTCCTACTGAAGGGGTATCTATTTATCTACTTGCATTTGCATGCTTTTGAATGTTAGGTGGGCATGAGCCAGAGCAAGGAACGGGAGCTCACCCCGTTGTATAGAGCTTGGGTCTCAAACCCAGGCTGTCAGCTTTCTATCTGACAAATCAGCATCATTAACCACTGACTCATTGCTTTCCCCCTACCATTAAAATAGGATCGGGAGTGTATACGATGTCATGCTTATTCAATGAACAAATTGGATCTGATCATCTGACTTTAGAAATCACCTGTTTATCAATGCACTGGGATGAGGTTACTTTTCAACCTTGCCCCAATAACTACAATCTCAGGAGACATTTCCTGTTTCTGATCAAACACTCTACAAATATTACCAGGAATTGCATATTTGTTTTGTTAAATAGTTTTTGAAAAGCCAAGTGGGTAGTACTTTAAAGCATTTGTGATGAATTTTTCTGAGCCATAAAAGGATCCCAGTGAGTCTTAGAGAATTGGAGGACATTGCTTTCCTTTGAAGTATTTCCAACTCCCCAGGGGAAAAAAAGAAGACAGAAATGAAAAAAAACGGGGAAGAAATTTGTTGCCAATGAGTACATGGAAAGATTTTGAGAGAAGAGCATGGTTGATGGATGTGATTGACCGAATGAGGAAAGAAAACAGTGGACAAACTCAAGAGGCTCTAACCCATAACAGAAGGATGAGAAACAAGGAAATGGGATCTGAGCAGGTATTGGCAAAAGGTCTGATAGAAACAGAAAAGCTGAAAGATGAGCCAGTGTGCTTAGGGTGTTGGTGTGAGAGAATATTGGGGGATGGGTTAATTCAGAATGAGAAAGAAAAAAGACAGATGAGATGATCTGAAGTTTTGTGTGAAAACATGAGAAAGAGACGATGGAGACAGTCCTGGGTGTGAATGATCTACAATGAAAGAGAAGAGATGGTTTGAAGGATAGATCCAATTCAGGTTTGGCAACAAATCTTGGGGATGTTTTTGTTTTTGTAAAATAAATATTGGGTGAATGATTTCAAACTCAACTCAGCCATTTTATAAATGAGTGCGCCTCCCACAGCAATCATTTTATGAATGGGAGCTTTAATGCAATCCTAAATTGTAGCAATCTTGGCAATTTCTCAGCACTCCAAATGTGTCCAATAAGCTCCATAGAAATTTGGAAATCCTAGCAGGGGGAGACCAAGAATGATGAAGTGGGTTGGAGCAATTATGACCATCTTCTTTGGATTAGCCTCGTGAACCACATGCATTATTAAAGCACGTGAAGAATGGATCAAAGAAGATGGACATCAAGATGAGTAAATGGCGTGGAAGCCAATGCAACATTAACTAAATGACAAAAAGGAATAGTAATGTTATCATGCCTGAACCAGTTTGTTGAGGTCATAGACACCAAGATTATGCCAAGATGTATTTCCTGGTGGAAGCAGCTTAATGAATGGTGTCCTTTCAGGACCAGTGAAGATTCCCCTCGCGCATATATGCTAGTTGTTTCTGGCTCTAGGGGGCAGTGCTCATCTCTGTTCCAAAGCTGAAAAACCAGCACTGTCCGAAGACGTCTCCCTGGTCATGCGACTGGCATGACTAAATGCCGAAGGTGCGTGCAATGCTGTTACCTTCCCACCAAAGTGGTCCCTAATATTTCTCCTTGCATTTTTTTTACGTGCTTTCAAACTGCTAGGTTGGCAGAAGCTGGGACAAGTAACGGGAGCTCACTCTGTTACGTGGCGCTAGGGATTCGAACCGCCGACCTGCCGACCTTTCTGATCGACAAGCTCAGTGTTTTATCCCCTGAGCCGTCCCGCCCCCCCCCCCCCCCCGTCATGCTATCATTTTAAAAACCCTTTTCAGTGATTTTGGCATCAGAGAAATACAATTCCATAAGCACTTGTCTTTCTCTTAAGAAGTAAAAAATATGGGAGTCAATGAAGTAACTAAGAAGAAATAAGTCCCAAAGGTGCTTTTTTCAAGAGGCAACTGGACTTTCTGTTGTTTTTTTTTTCTTTGAAGATGTTTTGCTTCTCATCCAAGAAGCTTCTTCAGCTTTGAAGCCCCTTAGATGAGAAGCGAAAGGTCTTCAAAAAAAGATAAAAAAAAACAGAAAGTCAGTTGCCTCTTGAAAAAAGCACCTTTGGGACAACCATGACGTGGATGACTGACAATCTCCATAAACATTGAGTATGTAAGAAGTAACTTTTCTTGGTGTTGAAGGCAAAAGGAGAGGGGGCCGGCAGAGGAAGAGATGGTTAAATAGTGTCGCTGACACAATAAACATGAATTTGGGTAAACTCTAAGAGACAGTGGAGGGCAGGTGGGCTTGGCATGCTCTGGTCCATGGGATTGTGAAGAGTTGGACACCATTTAGCAATTGAACAACACCACCAACTTTTTTGGCAGCACAGAATTTTTCCAACGGATAATGATTGGGATGACTATGTCAGGCCCTAGATAGATGCATGTCATGGCCCTGTCGGAATCTGAATCCGAGGAGAAAGACGAGCAACTGACAGGGAGCATGACTGTGGCTCCATTGGCCGTGGAGGAAACTGGGGAAGGGCAAAGTCTCGCTGGGCAGAGCAAGGAAGAGGTAGAACAAGGGAGAAGAGTTCAGAGGAAGACTCAGGCCCACCCCCTCTTCATCCTAGGGCATGGAGGGAGGAACATGAGTTGCATGACTTACGGGGGGAGGAAAGGGCCCTGATTCCCTTCCTTAGTTACAGCTGGGAAGTGAGTTTAACAGAGATGCAAGCTGAGAGCGGCGGCTGCTAGAACAAACGTGAATGTATGTTGTGTTGACTTTGGTTATCTGCATTCCTGGCATCCTCCCAACTGGGTTGATTTACTGCCATTCCTTCACATCTGGAATTCCTTCTCTTGCCCTGCCGGATTAATTACCTCATCTTGCCTTGATTGGACTTAAAGTTTTTGTTGACAATGTTTTGGACTTGAATCTCTGAAGCCAAAGCTGCTCCTGGGAAAGTTTTTCTCCAGACCAGAAGGTAACCAGGACATTGGGGGCAAAGTTGGAGCGAATAAAGGGACTCGTATTTATTATTTGACTGTATTGCCTTTGTACCACACCCGGGTCATCATAATGCCATCCTGTGCGCCTCCAAGCAGAGGAGCAAATAAAATATGTCTAGCATACTTCTATTGACTTCTCCATACATGATATACTACGCATGCCAACATCTCAATTTTAATCATTTCCAAATCTCATGGAAGAAGCCGCACATTGTATTTGGTTGAAGCTATCGACATTTTGCAACACTCATGATAGTTGGGCAATCTTGGCATGAAGCATCTCAAGCTGATTCAAGAGTTAACTAAAACTCGCTTAACTGAGTTTAATGTGATGATTTCTCAATTTTTTAGGTTAGGATTGATGGGTTTATGCCCAAGCCATTGTGCTTGGCTCCAGAAATGATGATTCTGTTAGGCATCTTCCTTCTTATTCACAAATCCCTCTGTGGAGGTTATTCCTTATTTGGAAAACATTATTTTGCCAATACTCTATTAAGCTGTGTTTGGAAGAAGAAATATCTACCCCATCCTTGTCTGTATCATAGCAACGGCATGATTTATTCTTTGTTCAATGATCTTGTATATCTTTGGAGAATAGAAAGTTTTAGATTCTTTTCCTACAAATTTTATCTGCAATGTCAAATGCATTATTACTCCCTAGGCGGGAATACTCTTTGCCTACCTTTAAGCTTAGCACAAAGCTGGTTACAGGTAGTCCTTGACTTACAACAGTTCATTTAGTGACCGTTCAAGGTTACATCGGTGCTGAAAAAAGTGACTTATGATCTGACACGTTCAGGACCGTTACAAATCCCCATGATCGCGTGATCAAAATTCAGACGCTTGGCAACTGGTTCATAATTATGACCGCTGCTGAGTCCCGGGGTCGTGCAGTCCCCTTTTGCGACCTTCTGACGAGCAAAGCCAATGAGGGAAGCCAGATTCGCTTAACAACCGGGTTGCTAACTTATCAACCGCAGTGATTCACTTAACAACTGGGGCAAGAAAGGTCGTAAAACGGGGCAAAGCTCACTTCGCAAACGTCTCGCTTAGCACCAGAAATTTTGGGCTCGGTTGTGTCGTAAGTTGAGGACTACCTGTCACAGTTAACAGTTGATTTCCGTGCTCTGACTACCTGTAGAAATGAATGGCGTAGCATCAATATTATCTAGTAATCCTCACACTATGCTATTGAATGTTTCCCCCAGAAGAGAAAAGGTTCGGCGATAACTTCAAAATTATTTCAAGCAGATGGGAGGAGAAAAACGAGCTATATTCTTACCGTTATCATCACCGGAATCCGACTGGTAGGAGCTGAGGGACTGAACTTCTGAATTGCTGCCTTTATTGCTTCCTGACAAACAGGTTACCTCTTCCATGTCGTCAAGTTCTTTGCCTATACATGGAGAAACGAAGAGAGAATGGGTTGTGTGCAGTGGTGGTATTGAAATTTTTTTACTACCGGTTCTGTGGGTGTGGCTTGGTGGGCAGGCAGGGGAAGGATACTGCAAAATCCCATTCCCTCCCCATTCCACCAACCTGCTTTCCAGCTCTGTTCTCCTGTGCAGGGCAACAAAAGAAGACCCAGCCAATCAGCTGGGACTTGGGAGGCGGAGAATAGATGGGGGCGAGGCCAGTCAGAGGTGGTGTTTGCCAGTTCTCTGAATTACTCAAAATTTCCTCTACTGGTTCTCCAGAAGCTGTCAGAACTGGCTGAATACCCACCTCTGGTTGTGTGGATATGCAGACCTCAGTTTTAGAGCACGTGACTTCCAACGAGACTTGACATGGCTCATCATTAAGGGGAGTCCTCAACTTACGACCAACTGAGTAGCCAATGAGGAAGCCAGTGGGGCCTTAGCAACCGTGATACTAACTTTAACAACTGCAGCGGTTCACTTAGCGAGCGTGGCAAGAAAGGTTGTAAAATGGAGCCAAACTCACTTAACCTACGTCTCACTTAGCAACAGAAATTTTGGGCTCTGGCAAATTGAACAGAATTCTGCTAGTTTCCTATAAAAGACAAACAACTAGTAGTAGCAATAGCACTTAGACCGGTCACGGGGCTTTTACAGCCCGCTCTAAGCAGTTTACAGAGTCAGCATATTGGCCCCAACAATCTGGATCCTCATTTTAGCGACCTCGGAAGGACGGAAGGCTGAGTCAACATTGAGCCTGGTGAGATTCGAACTGGCAGATTGTAGGCAGCCGGCAGTCAGCATAGGTAGCCTGCAGTACTGCACTCTAACCACTGCACCACCACTTCTCTTTATACGTGCTATTTATCCAACCCCTTAAAGGCAGCTTTTTCAATGTGGTGTTTTTGAGATATCCTGAGACTTCGGGTCACAGAATGCCGGTTGGACAAAACTGAAAGTCGACTGATGTATCATCAGAAGACGGTTTCAAAGGTGTGTCAGTGCGACACCTATTTATTTACATTGCTTTCATGATAAGGCAAGGCATGCTATTTGGAAGGACAATAAAATATTCCAAATTGCTAATTTTATCACGACTGAGAACCGTATAATTCAATACAATATCATTACTTGAATTAATAACTTTGTACATATGCTTGGTATCTCAAGGCTTGTCATATCATTATTCTGTTAATCTTGTGGCCGATAGTTTGCTGATTAAATGTCTACTTTTACAACAGAAGTTGATACGGTTTGTGTACCAAAGAAGTAGTAGGTTTATTTTGGGTATGTGCCATTGCATGACGTGTGATACAATGCCCATATATTTAGAGAAGCTTTGGCTGTTGCATTTTAAGCAGGAATATTTCCAAGTTTACCTGAAGAGGTTAAGAACTGAGCTTCGGATCTTCTAATCCAGGGGTGTCAAACTCGATTTCATTGAGGGCTCCATCAGGGTTGATGTTGGAGGGGGGGAATGGGCGTGGCCAGCTTGACATCCTGCAGCCCTCTGCATAGAAAATGGAGCCCGGAAGAGCCACACGCGGCCCTCACGGGCTGTGTTTTCAGCTGCAATGGCCTCCTGCAGCCCTCTGCTAGTGAAAATGGAGCTTGGGAGGGCCGCATGCCAGCTCCATTTTTGCTGGCAGAGGCACCGCGGGCCGGTCCTTCACTGTTTCCAGGGAGACCCTGCGGGCCAGATCTAAGCACCCAGCAGGCTGGATCCAGCCTGTGAGCCTTGAGTTTGACACCCCCGTTCTACTCTATGGTAACTTGTACTTATAAACAGGTCAGTTAGAACCCTTGTTAAACAAGGTTGTTAGAAGGCCGTTAAACGAGATTGTTAGAAGGCCAAAATGGCAACGAGGAAAGAAATGTGAATAATAATAATAATAATAATAATAATAATAATAATAATAATAATAATAAATCTAGAAAGTTGAAGGGACGTTACTTACTTTCAGTGCCATTTTCCCAAGTCTTCCGGATGGAGTCACAATCAGAACGACATGGAGATACCGTGGGCAAGTTGGGGGCCACACTGCACACTACAACACCCCTCCTTGCTGTCAAGATCCGGGGAGATTCCGGATGGAAGGTTGTCATCTCTTGATGTTCCACCCCATGTCCGTCAACTATCTTGTCCAAATTGTTCCTAGAATCACTCTGGAAGCAAGGGGTGTAGGCCATTGGCCTCACTGGGACCTGAGGAGGTCCTACTTCCTGATAGATATTGCGGCTGTCGCCACTGGTCCTCATGTTCTTGAACTGGATGCCGTTGCTTTTGTGGAGCAGAGCAGCCGTGGCTGGGTCTTGGACTAAAGTAATGTTGTTCCGAGAGTAATTTTTCCGGAAAACTTTCTTGCGGAAGACAATGAAGAGGACTACCAACAAAAAGATGATGAAAAGAACAATGGCAATGCCGATCAATTCTTCTTTACCCACATAAGAATGGCCAGCTTGGATATTAGGAACCACCACGGGTCTTAGTCCACAATGCTGGCCCACGTACCCGGGAGTGCAGTTGCACAGAAAGGAGCCGAATACGTTGACGCAAGAGCCGCCGTTCTCGCATTCCTCTCTTTCACATTCATTGATGTCTTCATCGCATCTGCAAGAAAGAGAATCGAAGGGGATGAGGGATTCCAGCACTTACGTTCTTTGACTTTACTTTCCGTACCTTTTATTCAGCTAAGTCTTAGATTTATACGTTGCTTTTCCTCTAAAAACTCAAGCGCTCGTCCTGCCATTTTCTTCACAACCATACCGTGTTGAATGAAGAGGCATGATGGCTCAGCAGTTCAAGATGCTGAGGTTGTCAGCTGGAAAGAGTCAGACATGACAGGGCCAGGGGAATTTCCCGTTGAATAGGTTGGACTTCAAGAAAGTGGCAAGCCTGAATGTTATTCAACCAGCTTCCATAACTGAAGATGGACCTGAACTTGGGTCAGCTATTCTTGAGTCCAACCTCAATCACTACTACACGCTTATCTTTGTTAAATGCAACCCGATAAATCAGAAATGTCAAACTTGTGTCATCACGGCATTGTCATGTGGCGTATCACAACTTCCCCCCCTTCGCTAAACTGGGTGTGGGCGTGGCCAGCATGTGACGCATCCGGCCCGCAGGCCACGAGTTTGACAGCCCTGCAATAAATCAGTGTAGGCTACGAATGGAGGGATAACATTTAAACAGCTCCATATTGTATTAAGGAACAAAACACCCAGGAACTATTATCCTGTTCACTTACCGCCTATCGGCTGCCTGTGTGAAATTGCTAATACAGGATGGCCCGTCAATCATTGAAAGGTTACATATATAGATGAAAAATAATTAGAAGCATTGAATTATGTCCGAGGTAAGAAAGATCTTGCTTAAGCAAGGCACAACTAGGGGAAATAAAAATGCTCATCTAGTCTTGGGAGGACCAGCAGTCAATGGTTATCTAAGAGTATCTCATTAAAAGATATAATTCAGCAAAGAGCTGCAAGGTGTGGCTATCTCCATACACAAGGATGAAGAAGTATCAGAATCGCTCAAGATGGTCTTCGGTTACATGTCTAAGAACTGAGTGTGAAGTTCACTGAAGAGATTTGTCTTATTGGGGATTGTTGACTGCCAATCCTATGCTTGCTACCTTGATTTCGGCATGAAGGAAGTAAGAAGACAGGTGTAAAACATAGATGTTTCTCATCAATCATCTCCTCCTCCTTCTTTTAATGACCCCATAATCTCTTGCGGGGTGGAGTCTGGGCAACTGAATGGAGCTGAGTGTTTACTGGCTGGGTGCCCTTCCTGTCACCAATGTGGAGTCCCGTCCCCCCCAGCAGATGTATTCTCATTATCCCCAGAAAAATTCCTGCTTCTACCTAGAATCAAACTCACAGCCTCCTGATTGTAAGGTGAGAGCTCTACCTCTAGGCCACGGCACCACTCAGATGTTTCTCATCAATGCTTTGAAAAAATAACCCATTTAACTTTGGTAGCGCTGTGTGTTGTCTGATTATTATTGTATAACCACATAAGGACCATCACTTTGTATCATCCATGGAATTAGCTTTCCAAAAGTATTTTTCTCGTGACATTATACTACAAATTTGTGATGCTAAAACCTTCCAGGAGCTCTTGCACCCCTCGAGCTGCACCATCTTCTCTGGGATGGCTTTACTTACGTCACTCCAGTTAATCCACTCTTGCAGGTGCAAATGAAGGCACTGCCTATGGGATCACAGGATCCTCCATTGTGGCAAGGATTTGGAAAGCAGGCGGTGACCTCCGATTCACAGTTTCGTCCAGTGAACTGAGAAAGGCAACTGCACTGGTAACCTAAGTCAGGGGGAAGGAGAGGAGCAGAAAGGGGAAGGTGTAAGTATACATTTCGGGGGATAAGTGAAACCCTTAATTCTCCAAATAGGGTATGTTGCACTGGGAAAGTTAACAGAATTAAAAGTGGTGTTTTATCCCCCTCTGGTGGTCACTTTGGAGATATTCCTCAATTAGAAACTACACCAGGAACAAAATCACACATGGATTGGGAACGTACATTCCTTTTGTTGGTTTATCGAAAAGCCTGAAGGGTATTTTACTTTAATGAAGAAGAAAAGCAAAGCTATAATAGCAGAAGAATTTAGATACATTGTGATATTTATGAATAAGGACCTTCAGGTTAGCTCAGTTGCAGTGTTCCAGGGCATATGATCCTCTTTTGAGAGCTTCGGACAAGCAAAATCCACCGGGAAGCCAGATTCATTTAGTATTACTAACTTAAGTGCAGTGATTCGCTTAACAATTGGGGCAAGAAAGTGTGATGACCCTGGGCATGGCACAAAAATAACCAAGTCACCAAAGTAGATAAATTTCCCTTTAATGCCTCCAACTCGGCCTCCAATGTCCAGTTATCCTCGGTTGGAGAATCAAACTCTTCCAAAAACAGTCTATGAAGGAAAGAAATGCAGTCCAAACCCAAAGTAAAGATAATTAGAAATTAAAAAACAACACAAACCACGCTGAAGTAAATTAAAATGACAGGCCAGGATGATAAATTGCAGACTTTCAAAGGATAACGCAGCACCCATAGTTGGGAGAATGCCAAAACCCAGATAAGCCTCGACAAAGATAATGCACACTTTGTTTCCAGCAACTTTGCCCTTTTAAACAGTCTTCCTAGCTGCAGCCCGTGAAGGGGATCAAGGCCTTTCCTCTCCTGTAGGCCATGTTGCTCCCTTTTCTGTTCTTCCTTGTGTGGCCTAGGATGAAGAGGGGATGGCCCTGGGTCTTCCTCTGAATGCCCAGCCAGACTGTGCCCCTTCCCTGTTTCTTCCACAGCCACCAGATCCACACTCTCACTCCCTGTCAGCTGCTCAATCTCCCCCTCCAATAAGGGCATGACAGAAAGGTTGTAAAATGGGGCAAAACTCATGAAACAACTGCCTTGCTCAGCCACATAATTTTGGGGCTCAATTGAGGTCATAAGTTGAGGACTATCGAGTGAGGCACATTTTGAGGAAAAGCTAGGTTTGGAAATGCATACCGAAAGGCGCGTTTTCACATGGATTTTAGTTGTGAAGTGAAAACCTGGAAATAGGCTCTTGGGCCCGCAGTTATCTTTGTGCCTTGTCTAAAGCACTCTTCTTTACCTGTTGATCTACTCCAGGGGTGTCAAACTCAAGGCCTGCAGGCCGGATCTGGACAGCGGGGTGCTTAGATCCAGCCTACCTAGCCACCCGGGAAACAGCCAAGGACCAGCCTGTGGTGCCTGTCAGCGAAAACGGAGCTGTTTTCAGCCGCAATAGCCTCCTGCAGCCCTCTGTCAGCGAAAACGAATCTCACGTGGGCATATATGGTCCCACCGAGCTCAGTTTTTGTATGGTGGAGGCCATTGTGGCTGAAAGCAGGGTCCAGGGCGGCGGCGTGTGGCCCCCTGCTCCAATTTTACTGGCAGAGGGCTAGCAAAACTAACTGAAAGCAAAGCAAAAGGAGAAATGTTTCCTTTTGTTTTGTTTTGCTTTTAGTTAGTTAGAAAGAGAGGTCATAAAGAAAATACTGATTTGTGCAGAAATGGATAGATTGACGTTGGGGCTAAAGAGTAAAGGAGAGACAGAATATCATGATATATGGAATAAATTTTATCAGTGTTTGAAACTGAAAGGAGGGACCCAAAATAAAAAATAAGTAGGATTTGTAGAATGGAAACTTGAGGTGATGTATGTAAATATAACTGAGTATAATAGATAAGACAAATGTATAAAATTATTAATACAGAAGATGTTATGCTGTCTTTACAAATGTATATACAGGATAGGATAAGTGTACAAAAGTAGCAACGTATATAAGTTATCTGTTCTATACCTTAGTATGTATGGCAAAGATAATGCTAGGATGATCGCACTGTGTTCAATATTTTAATGTGTAATTAATAAAAATTTCTAAATTAAAAAAAAAGGAGAAATGTTTCCCCTTTTGCATTTGAGCCTCCAAGAAGGGACAGGAAAGGAGAAAGGGAAAGAAGGAAAGTTAGGAAGAGAGCAAGGAAGGAGAGGGGAAGGAAGAAGAAAGGAGAATGAAGGGGGAAGGAAAAAGAAGAAAAGGAAAGAAGGAAGAAAAAAAGGAAGACAATGGTTCTTCAGCATCGCCTGGGCCACCACAGGAGATGGCCATACCCACCACGGCCACAAAACCCCCCAGTCAAACACAACCCTGATGTGGCCCTCAATGAAATCGAGTTTGACACCCCTGATCTGTTTGACAGTCACCAAAAGTGTGAAAAGATTTCTTCTAACCATGGCCCGTTCTTTTAGCCAACATGTCGACTGATGACCTGATAGAATAGGGGGCCTTCCGCTGAACTCAGTTTAATTATATATACCCTTTTTATGTACAGCGGATTGCTTGGGCTAATAAATTATTTTGCTTGGGAGGGAAGGAGGAACAGAAAGGAAGTTTCCTACTGGTGCAGCAGCTGATTGTCTTATAGACTGGCTGATATATCGCTAAAGGCTGCTGCTTTAGAATTATGGCACCATTACAGTCCTTTATTTACATACACTGCTGAGAGCGTGAAAGAAAAGCCCAAGGAAATAAATTTCTTCACAAGAGACAACGGAGAGAAACATGGTGCAAGACAGAGAGGAGACTGTGAGTAAGGAAGCTTTGCTACCCCCCTCAAGGCACTTGCTCTCCGACAGCAGCAGTAACGCATGGCGGCCTAACTAGTTTTAGAACATAAAACACAGCAGCAAAACACACCCGAATGTGAGTTGCTTGTCTATCTCGCCTAATAAAACAGACCCTTCAGATGTGAGCTGCTCATCTCTGCTTCTTCCTCCTAATAAAATGGACCTTTCATTTGAAGACATTTTTCCCTTCCAGCAGCCGATGTAAACGCAAAGCATTCAATCCGCCGAGGGACGAAGCAGAAAGGGAATTATATTAAAATGATTTGGTGTACAAAAGTTTAAATTCGAACAGGAGGCTATTTTCTGAGTCCAGCAAATTCGTTTGCCAAAGATGAGCCATCGTTGCTTATTTATGGGAGGGAGATACTTGATCTAATTTATAATATGCCGAGTGAAAGTTCGGCATGGGTTTTATCTTTATTGCTCAGAAACATAAATAAATGCATTTAGCTATTTTCCTTAAAAGCTTCTGCATCTTTGGAATGCTTTCCTTGCAAGAGGCACTCAGCTTCCCAGATTTCATATTTGCAAGTGGAGAACATTTTACCGGTACAACTTTGCATTAACACATGTCCTGATGTTTCATATTAAATGTGCTAATGTTTTCATGTTCAGGTCTCTGGACATTGCCGTTTCCGCCCCCCCCCCCCAAGCATTATCCTTGAGTTTGTTTCCCATAAGATTGAAGTAACTAACAGAATAACAGAGTTGGAAGAGACCTTGTAGCTCATCTAGTCCAACCCTCCTGCCAGTGGTGGGATTCAGCCGATTCGCACCGGTTCAACTGAACTGGTAGCTAACATCATTGGCTGGCCCTGCTCCCTCTCCTTCCAGCCACTTCTTGCGTGGCTGGCTCCTTGCCTAGGTTTGTCCAGCTGTCGGGGGGAAAATGGATGGGGGCCTGGGGAGGAGGCACCTCACCTGCCATGGCTGCCAGCACGCGGGGGGCGGCGGCTAGGGACCACAAGGCTGTACCACCCGTATCAGCAAGCTATTCTAGGAGATGGCCAGTATTAATATGAAGCTATAAAGGTGCCGAGCCCGAAACTGACATATGCTAGCCATTTTATTTAGCCTTATTATATATTCCTTTTCTTTCTTTCTCTTTACTGGTTATGGGGGGGGGGGGGTTTTGGGCTTGCCACATTCCTAAGGTGGGAAGAATGGAGATAGAGAGAGTTGTTTTGGCTAGGTGGTTCTTCTTCCTGTGGGAACAAAAGCTGACTCTGCTGAGACCTGGAGGTTGATGACACCAGGAAATATTGATTTACTTCTATAGGGGAATGTGACTTTTGGGGGCTGTTTCTAACTTCCAATATAATGTGGTGTAATTCCGGGTTGTGTCAGATCTGGAATTACAACAGATTTTGCCAATTTGATGCTTTCCTAAATAAAAGAAATTGTTTTGGAAGATGAATGTTGCTCTTTTTTTAAAAAAAAAATGGATTTCATCACTTGGAAAGGCAGGACTGGACTGGTGCAGGATAGCCAAAGATATTGTGTTTGTTGGTACAAGCAGTAGATCTTGACATACAACAGTTCATTTAGCAACCGTTCAAAATTACAACGGCATTGAAAAAAGTGACCTTATGACCATTTTTCACACCTATGGCTGTTGCAGCATCCTCATGGCCATGTGATCAAAATTCAGGCACTTGGCAACTGATTCATGATTATGACCAGTGTTGTGTACTGGGGTTATATGATGACCTTTTGCTGACAGCAAAGTCAATCAGAGAAGCCAGATTCACTCAACAACCGTGGTACTAACTTAACAACTGCACGAGTTCACTTAAAAACGTGGCAAGAAAGGTTGTAAAATGGGGCAAAATTCACTTATTATGGTTGTTAAGTTGAGGATCACCTGTATTGAGTAGGAAAAAAAATGGTAGAATATACAATATATTCACCGGTGTGATAGGCTTGCTCACAAGTACATACATATTAGATTATCTGTGTGGAGAGCTCGTCAATATCATAGAAAATCATATTCCATGGAGAATGTATTTCTAGCAGGTGGGATTAGCCACAAAAGAAATGTATAAATTAGAATAACATTTTCTTATTTCCCCAAGGAGAAAGTTGTTTCAGTAGGATTAGATGCAAAATTATTGCCATGGAGCTTCAAGTATAAGCAGAGACACACGCTTTCAGTAAAGACCCAGTTAAACATTGGGATGTGCTTCTATGTTCCATGTTGGTATACTGATGGGGATGTGGTACAAATCCATATAAAAATTCCAGTACTAAGATGGCATGGAGTAAATAAGTAATAGACTATAATGTACCCTACGAGGAATGGATGCCTCAAAAATCTGTCCCAATACAAATCAAATCCCTCCTCAAAGCTCATAAAAAGGATATGTGGGACTTTGAAAAAATCATAAAACCATAAATCGGAAAAGGGCCATTCAAAGTCCTGCCTACTGTAATAAACCACATCCTTAAAGATGTCCCTCTAAATGTCCATCTCCACTTGAAGGAATCCAATGAAGAACTCAACCACCAAACTGGATAATTGTTTTTCCCGTTGAACTGTTTTCTAGGATTCAACTCCAACCTTTGCTGGTGGAGGACAGAATTAGTTGTTGTTCCCTCCAGGTAATGTTCACTTTCTTATCTCTGGTTGTTGCCTTCCAATTCCTGTGTGGTCTTGATGGATTGTTACCCTATGTCCTGCTCCACAGCTATCAGCACCTCTGTAGTTCCTATCTAGACCTGGTCTAGTGGCCCCCTTGTTTTTCATCCTCTTCTGCATGTTCACATTTTTTCTTGGGAGGTCCTATTTTGCTCACCTCTCTCTCTCCAATATCTTAATTGTTTTGCAACAATAGGCTATTGATTTCACTCTCTATCTAAGGCAGCACACCTTCTGAAAATGTCAGTTCCAAGTAGGCATAACAAACATTTAGTACAGGGGTATCCAACCATGGCAACTTTAAGACCTATGGACTACAACTCCTAGAATTCCCCAGTTGGCATGGGGAAGCTCCATTTGTGTGAGTGCCAGTTGTTTGCGGTTACATGGGAAGCTCCATTTGCATGTTCACCTGCCACTTGCGTAAAGGCTACACACCTGAGCACCTGTTGCTTGTAGGGGATCACCCCTCACCCCTCATCTGTCGGTCTGCAAAGCTGGAAAGGTCAGACCCCTACTTTATAGGATTGACTGTATCAGCAGAAGAAGGACATGGTGGCTCAGTGGCTAAGATGCTGAGCTTGTTGATCGAAAGGTCGGAAGTTCAGCGGTTCAAATCCCCAACACCGGGTAATGGAGTGAGCTCCCGTTACTTGTTCCAACTTAGCCAACCTAGCAGTTCAAAAGTATGTAAAAATGCAAGTAGAAATATAGGGACCACTTTGGTGGGAAAGTAACAGCATTCCGTGCGCCTTCGGCATTTAGTCATGCCAGCCAGATGAACACGGAGACATCTTCGGACAGCGCTGGCTCTTCGGCTTTGTAACAGAGATGAGCACTGCTCCCTAGTCGGGAACAACTAGCACATATGTGCGAGGGGAACCTTTACCTTTACCTATATCAGCAGAATCTTGCTATAATCTCATAACCTAAGCAAAGTCTGATTATGTTATTCCTCCTCCTTATAACACTAGCAATAGCACTTAGACTTATATACCGCTTCACAGTACTTTACAA